TCCTCCCTCTCCTACCTATGGTAGCGGTGGTGGAAAAGTCGGCGCATCAACTCTTCTTCTCTATGCCTGCTCCTCCTGGCGCCCAGAGTGAAAGGCCGTGCACGGCGACAGCAGAACCGAAAACTGGCGGAAATTGGCAGGCCGAGAGCAGCCTGTAGAAGGGCGCAGCGGCGCGGTAGCGACACGATCACCGGCCGAACGGAACCGACCAACCGCGACCGACTGCGACGCCATCGAGCCGACCGAGCCGTGAACACCCCAGAAGAGTGCGGGCAGCGGCCGGGGCACGCATCGAGCGTCGATCGCCGAGAGAGGGGGGGGACGGCCTCCGCCAGGGCGCCGCCGAGGCGCCCGAGGCCGGCCGCGTCGAGCGCCTCGCGCAGGGCGGCATCGGAGGCCTCGCGCTCGGCGCAGGGGGGGAGGGGAGGGGGGCGAGGGCGGGGGGCTCAGCTCAGTGCGGCCTGCGTGCCAGCCCCCGCAGGGCAGCAACGGCACTCGGCCAGGGAAGGCCCCGCCAGGCGGAACTCGGCCTGGCGGAACTCGGCCAGGCGGAACTCGGCCTGACCAGATTCAGCTGGCCGATTCATCCTGGCCGAATTTCGTCGGGCCGAGTCATTCCCTTGCCGTAGGAGCCCCTGACCCAGACCCCCTCGCGGCGCGGAAAATCCCGAGGGGCGTTTTGGTTACGGTTTCTGCCTCTGGGTGCCCTCGCTGGGCCCCGGGACCTTCAAACCACGACTCGGGACGAAACGCTGATCCATGGGGAAGGGGTCCAGGCCTCTGGGGGGCCACGTTGCGAACAACAACATGACGTCGGGGGCCTGAGAAAGGGCAGGCGGCACTTGAGGCAACAAGCCACACGCGATGTAGATAAAGTGTTTTATATGATTGCGTTCACTACAGCAGCCTCTGCGTTGCATCCCCTGCAGCAGAATTTGCTGCACCACGTGCTACGAAGCAGAATTGTTCCACCGAGGATGAGTCTGCCAGTGCCTTTTGGGTCGGCATCGCTACCAGGAGGTGGGATGGGCAAGGATAGAGGAGTTCTACCAAGACAGGACTGATGTCGTGATGCGGTTGGCCCGGGGTACGCGCTTGGAAATTTGTAACTTCTGATGGCGGCCACTCGTACTCGGCGACTCGTCGCTGGCCGCGCCTGACAACTGGGGTGAGATGACGAGAGGGGAGAGGAGAGGCCCCGAGGTACTCGCGCCGTGGAGCAAATCACGACGGGGCGTTTCTGGGGGCACCTATGAGAAAGAGCCGGTCCTTTTTCAGAGCTCCAGGGCTCTCGGGAGAGATGGGATAGGAAGGGTCGAGAAGTTTCACGGCACATAATCATTCGCCCCGAACGTGCGCGTCTGACGAAGACAAGAGGAAGACCAGAGAAGGTGGATCGAGGAGGACTAGCGGGCGAAAGAGCTGTGTGACATAAACTTTTCCGACGTTGAGGACGCCTGTCCCAGGGCGGCTGGAAAGTTTATACCCCGACGTGCCACTGCAAGGGTATGAACCCTCCAACCGCCATGGGGCCGGCGTCCCCGACGGCGGAGAAGCTTATTTTACGCCTCTCTCCGTCCGCTAAGAGGGGGAGGGGGGGGAGGAAACAAGCGGATCTACAGGTCGCGTCGCCCTGCTTCCTGCTCCCACCCTGCTCCTCTTCGGACTGCTCCCGTCCTCCCTTCTAGGGGGCCACTTGCGAACCCTACCCCTACCCCCACGATTTCTGAGGGAGAGGGTGGGGTTCACTTCGCTCGGGAGCACCACCTCAGGTGGCGGGGGGCAGGAGTGAAGAATGTACGGCTGTGCTCCTCGGAAGCAGGGGGCCCTGGCACCCTGGCCTCCGGGAGCAAAAAACACGGCGGGATGCTCAGTTTTCCGGCCTCGGGCAGGGCTCGACCTGCACTGTGACTGTGTCTTTCGTGTTCGTTTTGTCTCCGGTCTTCTTCCTTCTGTCTTCGTTCCGCATTTGCTGCGACACGAAATCAAAACGAACACGGTCCACGAAATCGACACCGACACAATACCGTGTAGCTCGAGCCCTGCTCTGCAGCAGGGGCCCTAGCTCCCTGGCCTCCAGGGAAACAACAAAGAAGCACGGCGGGACACTTCTGGAAATCTTCGGCCTCCGGTGGCCCTTGCCGGGCCCCAGGGGCCGTCAAGAAAACGGCGCTGGATGACCCGCCGGTCCCAGAGAGAGATCCAGGCTCCTGGGAAGCCACGCTGTGCAAACGTCACTGCGTCGGATGTTTGGGGAGGAGCGGCGGGAGATTGCAGGTTCAAGTACTTTCTTCACCTCCAGGATGCGTCTGGGGACCGATGTGGAGCGAAATTGGTCGGGGGGAGGGGGCGGAGGAGCAAGAGGGGAGGATCGACGATCCATCTCCTATTACTGCACTCGCCTCCCTGCGCTTCGCTCCTCCCTCCTCCATCTCCTCCCTCCTCCTCACGGTCTGCCTCCCATTCCCCCCTCTCCTCCCTGCTCCCCCAGCAGGGAACTTGGGGAGACCTGCTCGCCTGAGAAGCCTGGACTCCAACCAGAAGCTCGTTTGCGCAGAATGCTCGCGGGTGCCGCCCCGATCCCCAGAGCAACAGATGTGGAGTCGGGGTCTTGTTGTCAGAACCCACCCCGCTCGCATGACGCGCACGTCACAGCGGCGGCGGAGGCGGAGGTGGAGGAGGACGACGCGGAGGCGGGAACTTGGAAATCGCACTGACGGTGCGCACAGGGCGGCGGCGCGATGGGGGGAGGCATTCACAGAAGGCGGGGTCCCGAAGAGCATGGCCCTGTGCTGGCCCCAGTGCCGAACAGCACGGCCCTGGCTTCTGAAAGCATGGCCCCAGGATGGCCCCAGCCAAGGAGGAGGAGGAAGAAGACCAGAAGGAGGAGGAGGAGGAGGAGGAGGAGGAGGAGGAGGAGGAGAAGGAGGAGGAGGAGGAGGAGGAGGAGGAGGAGGAGGAGAAGGAGGAGGAGGAGGAGGAGGAGGGAGAAGGAGGAAAAGGAGGAGGAGGAGGAAGAGGAGGAGGAGGAGGAAGAGGAATTTGTGGGAGGATGTCTCGAGCGAAACGATGGCCCGTGTGCAGAGGGACGACGTCATTTCCAATTCCGGCCCCGATTTAGAAACGAAAGGTGCCGACTGGATGGGGGCGGTGGCGCCGTGCCCACGAATTAGAAATGAGCACTCGGTACGCATTCTCAGACGGCGCTGGCACGAATCGTGACGTTACTGGCCACCACCTCCCATCCCCCCACCGGTCACGCTCGTCAAAGCACCTGTCTCCTTAAGAAGCTTTCTTGGAATCCTCTCAGCCCTTCCAAGAAGGCCCCTACCTTCTGAAAAGCCCCCCCACCTTCTCAGAAGGTCTGCCTCCTCGCGCCAGCCACTCGTGCGCGCAGCCAGAAGCAGCTGGACGTCACTGCACCAGCCACCACCCCTGGCCAGTGGCGTCCTGGGCCCGGGCCCTAGCCAAGGATAGCGGTGGTGCGTATCGCTGCAGAAGCGGAGCGGTGTGGATAATACGGTGATGGCATAAGGAACCATTGGGTAAGGAATCCAGGGCTGGAGGCCGGTGGAACGCCACTCGTGGATGGGTCATGAATGCCGCCGCCGCCCTCATCAGTGCATGACCCCTCCAGGGCCTATGGAGCCTCCTGGGCACGCTCCAGTGGAGGACCGGGAGGGCAGGAAGGAGCGCCCACTGTCGACACGCCGCGCCCCTCCCGATCGGCGCCCGCGCAGCCCTCCACGGCGGCGCGCGGCTGCTCGCAACCGCTGGCCCCCACCGGCAGCTCCAGCTGGGCACTGCCCCCGCAGCTCGCGAGCGGTGCCCCGGCGCCGTCGTCCTCCCCCGCGCGGCCGGCGCCGAGAGCACCCAGCGAGCCCTGGCTGCCGAGCAGTGGCTGGTCGGCGGCGGCCTGCAGCTGCGGGGGCGGCCCCCGCCCGCGGGCGGGCGCCGCGTCGCCCGACGAGGCGGAGGAGTCCCGCCGCCATACCTGAGAGGAGGGAGGCACTGCACGAGCACAGGCTGAGGTCGTTCTTTTGTGCCGACACGTGCGTGATGCAACCGGACCTGGGAGAACGAGAGAGGAAGAGCAGAGAGACATGCAGGCAAGAGCCTCTGAGAGCGCCGTGGGCTGCTCAGGGCCCTGGGCGACTTGCGTCCCCAGCGTACTGCGGAAGCGGAGCAGGGTGGATGATACGGTGATGGCACACGGAACATTTGGGTACGGACTCCAGGTTCTGGAGGCCGGAGGAACGCCAGTCGTGGATATGGCCATGGATACTACCGCCGCCCGCGTCATGTAAAGAACCCTCCAGGATCTGAAGCCTCCTGGGCACATTCCCTAACGAACCCACCGTAAAACCGTCGGAGGTCCGCGCGGAGTTCTTAGATCGGCGCTGGACCCTGGCGCGCGCAGCGCGCCAAGGGTGCCCAGCACCAAGAGATCCGCGCGACCCTCCGAAGGCTTACTGAAATTAAAAAGCTCCCAACCCGCTTCGCACACCCCGCATACCGCGGCCTCCAGGCCGTGTGCCGATGCTCCCTGGGTGTCCCGCCTCGCGCTCTTGGGTGTAGACCGCTCGAAGCAAAATCAGTGTCTTGTGATTCGAACACCCGCACGATGGGACCGACCCCATAAATGCGCGAGGACCTCCGCAGGCCTAAAAGTTCATCATGTTATTCTTTCTCTGCTTCTTCATCATCTTCTTCCTCTTCTGCTTCCTCCTCCCCGAAGACCTGCGAAATGGGGTCGCGGGTGCGGCATGCCGCGCGCCGGCGCGGCGCGGCGACCGCGATCTCCTCGGCGGCGGACGCGGCGCCGCCGCCCCGCCGCGCGGCGGCGTCGGCCGCGCCCGCGCCCGGCCCCGGCGACGCCGCCGCGGGCGCAACGCGCCGAGCCAGCAGTGCGGACATCCGCGGCTCGCCCGGCGCGGGCGGCTCGGGCGGCGTCGCGGGCCGCAGCTGCAGGCCCGGGGCGGGCTCCTCCGCGGCGCGCCCCGCGGCGTGCTCGTCGGCCCCGCGGCGGCCCGCGGCTGCGGCGCGACGGTGTCGCGCGCCGCGCAGGGGTCGTCGTGGCTCGCGGGCTCCGCGGCGGCCGCCGCGGCGGCGCGGGCGCACCGCCGCTGCTGCGCGTGGCGGGCGTGCCCGAGCGCCGGCCTGCACGGCGGCCCCCGCGCAGCGGCCTCCAGCGCCGCAAGCCGCATCTGCACCGCCGCCCTGTCTGCTTCCGCGTCCAGGGCGTCTCGCTCACGCCGGACCACCAGGGACCCGATGCACCCCTCCAGGCTGTCCACCCGCAGCCCGAGGGACTGCACCTCCGACCAGTACAGCTGCTCCTCGCCCCGCGCCCTCTCCTCGAGCTCTGTGATGTCGCTGGCGGTCTGCCTCAGGCAGGGCTCGAACTAAACGAGGTTTTCCGATCTCGTCCTGCTTTCGTTCTCCCTCTTCGTCCCACCCTTGCCGCAAAATGAAATCAAAACGAAAACGGCTCACGAAGTTGCCAAAGCACCGTTTAGAGCTCGAGCCGCGGCCTCAGGAGACCCTCTGGCAGCAGCAGGCGCCACCCTCGGCCATCGGTCTCGCCCGTCGCGGAGCCGGCCCTCTGCGTGGCGCCCCCAGGACGACGGGCCTCCGCGAGGGCGTCCCAGCGCTGGTCCTGCAGCGCCGCCTCCAGCAGCGGCTGCGCGAGCTGCGGCACCCGCAGCTCCATCGCCTCCCGCAGCTCCGCGTCCAGCCTGTCCACTCTTGCCCCCAGCTCCTCTGCCAGCCAAGGGGGTGGAGCGACGGCGGGCGGCGCTCACGGACTTCTAAGACGTCTTTTTATAAGGCAAGAGAGCTTCTGAGAAGCCACCTGCCTCCATAGAGCTCCACCAAGCCCCTCGCGCGCAACGCCCGGCCGAAACACGCTCAAAACTGCTCCCTGGATCCTTCCTGAAGGTCGTTTCCTCGAGCCGCGTCCAGCAGTGGCGGCGAGAACCTCCAAACTCGCCCGAAACACCGAAAAGACGGCGCCGACGGCGCCGACGGCGTCGCGCGCGCCGCCGCTCCTCCCACAGCTCACCGCGCAGCGTGGCCACGAGCGCCTGGATGTGCTCCACGCGGCGGTCGAGGTCCTTCGTCCTCTGGTCCAGGGCCGACACCGCCTCAGCGTCGCCCCGCTCGCGCGCCCACGTCGACGACTGGCCCTTGCTGGCAGGGACGCCGCCCTCAGAGGGCTCCGCGCCGCCGCCCCACTCGGCCCCGCTGGGCGCGCCCGGGCCGCCTTCGGCGCCCGGAGCCTGCGCCGCCGCGGCGCCGTGCCGTCCGCGCGCGAAGCCGCCGGAGCCGCGGCACCGCGGCGAAGGCCAGCCCCAGCCGGCGTCGTCCGGCTCGGCGCCGCTGCTGGGCGCGCTGGGGCCTGCCAGAGGTCGAGGGGCCAGTGGGCCTCCGAGCGGGCGGGATATCGATAGCGGGCGGGCGGGGCTGCGAGCGAGCGAGTGCAAGCGGGGGCGGGGCGAGCACACCTGGCACTGAACGGGCGGAGCGGGCGGGTGAAGGGTGGAGGCCCTCCGAGGCGCCCAGGAGGCCTCCGCAGGGTCCCCAGACATGCGACGCTCTGCTTTTTTTTCAATGCGGCGTCCCCAGAAATCTGGACCCACTCCCCACGATGGCGCTTGATCCTGAGTCGACTTTTTGACGCTCCAGGGGCCTGGCAAGGGCCCCCAGGAGCCAAAAAATACACCCAAAACCTCCCGCCCTGATTTTCATCACAACGCGAGCGCATGTTTGGGTCTCTCGAGGCCCTCGCAGGAGCCCTCCGGCGGCGCCCCGGAGCAGCCGGCCCCGTGACCTCTGCTGCAGGGGCCCGGCCCTGCGCCGTGCAACGCGATGTGCCGCTCCGCCTGCGGCAAGAAGTCCGCGATGCGCGGGCCGCGCCGCCTCATGGCTGCCCGCGGGGCCGGCCCGCGGGGCGGCCGGTGCGGCTGGCGCGTGCGCGCGCGCGCGGCGGTCCGCGAGCCACGGGCGGCGCCACGGGCGGCGCCACGGGCGGCGCCACGGGCGGCGCCACGGGGCGGCCGCGGGCAGGCCGACGGGCAGGCCGACGGGCGCTCGCGGCCGCTCCTCGGCACGCGCCCAACCCAGAGATCCGGCATTTCGGAGCGGAAAAGTCGAGGCAAAGGCTTTCCAATGTTTCTGGCCTCTCGGGCCCCTCGCAGGGCCTCGGGACTACTCGAGGTGAAGAGCAGGTCCCTGGAAGTGGTCGAGAAAGCTAGTCAAGACCGCGGAGCTGGGCCCCCCTCCCTGCCGCGCGGAGCGCGACAGGGGCGGCGCCGGCGCCGGAGGCGCTGCCAGGTGAGCCCAGCTCCGACCTAGAAGTTTATGTCTACGCAGTGCATTCTTATTCGAATGTCAGGGGCCCGTGTCTCGAACAAATCGAGACACAGCTCCGATCCAAGAAATCTGCGCGGAGCCCCAAAAGTTTACGTTTCTGCGGTCTGTTCTGATTCGAGAGTCAGGGGCCCGTAAATCGAGGCACTGGACATCTGGGTATGCGCAGAAGGCGCCCCAAGCACCACGACCCCGCGTGGACAGGGCCGCCTCTGGGCCCCAGGCTTGGTGCACGCGCCTGCGCGCAGGGCCCAGGCCGGCCCTGGCCAGGCATGGGGGCGGTGCGCGGCCGCCTTCTGCGGGCGCCCAGCCCGAACATCCGGCGTCTCGAACAAGAATCGAGACTGCTAGCTGTTGGCCGTCGCTTTGGGCCTCCCGATGAGCAACTAAAAAAAGATGCAGAGGGGACCCGAGTGAGGAGGGCCACAAACATTAGGAGTACGGGGGTCCTTTCTGCAGATGTATCGGACCAAGCCGTCCAGATTTCTTATCACGAGTGCAAAAGACAGGGATCTCGGTGAGGCCACGTCTTCATCGTGTTGTTCGGGTTGGGGCTTCTTCTGTTCTCGATGATCCCGAGGCCGGCTCTGGGCCCCGGGGCCGTCAGAGGACGGTCGGGGCGAGAGGCCCGCCCGGGGCGAAGGGCCGAGAGGCGCCTGGCGGCCCCCTGCGTCCCGAGGGATCGCGCAACGCTGGATGCCTGGGCTCGAGCGGCCGCTCCTGGGGTGCGCGGCCCGCCCCTCGAACTCTTCAGCCAAGCTGGCCTCCTCGTGCTCCTCGTCGTCGTCCTCCGCCTCCTTCTCCTCCTCCTCCTCCTCCTCCTCCTCCTCCTCCTCCTCCTCATCATCATCATCATCATCATCATCATCATCATAAGCATCAGAATCATCATCATCCCCCGATTCCTTCTGAATCCTCCTCCTCCTCCTCCTCTTGGGGTACGACGGTTTCCCTGGCCCTCTGTTCCTCTGCATGCTCCCCCAAGTCCCTCATCAAAGCGACTCGTCTGGGCATCGTTGCTGGATGGGCTGGTGGGGCCCGGTTACTTTTGATCGCGACCGCGGCGAGACAAGTCGGGCGGCGGAAAGGAACGAAGCGCAGATGCATCGGCCTAAATGAGGCCCGGTTGCGCGAAGCGTGAATAACTCCTCAGCAAAGCTGGCCATGCAGGCGCGGAGGAGCTTCGTAGGCCGCCCAATTCCTGCGCCTCGCGCGCCGCGCGGATCCCTTCGCGCCCTTGACGGGCGATCCGACGCGGGGCGAGGGCAGGGGCACGGGAGCGGGAGGAGGCGGAGGAGCTCTGCGTGGGAGCGACGAAGGGCTGCTGGGACCGGGCGAGGGGCCCTGCAACTTATGAGCTGGACGAGCTGAGCCCGGGATTAAGCCGGATCGGAGCGGTTTTCGGCCATGGGTGTGCCAGCGCCGCTGCCGAAGCCCACCTCCCAGAAGCTGCAAGCCAGCCTGGGGAGGGTCAGAGCTGCTCGGAAATTGCTGGATCAAGGAGCTCCCAGGCTGGATTACGAAACTATGAAGCCGGAATCAAGTTGGGGGGAGCCGGATTAGCAGCAAGGAGGTATATCCACAACCCCGACCCACGCCATGATGTTGTGATCGTTGTCGGCTTCTCATCCCGGTATCTTTTGACGGTCCCCGAGCCCAATAATGGCCCCCCAGAGGCTTGGAATTGTGACCGACGTCCGTCGTGATGTTTCACGTCGCTGAGCATCAGAACTATCACCCTCTCAGAATCCCCCCTTCTGATTGTGTGTTTGACCAGACTTCCAACGGGAGTGCCCAGCGGCGGGAGGCCAAACAAAAACGCAGACCGTCCAAAGACCTGGGCACCCGAAGTTGGAGCTTTCATCCTGAGACGTGTGTTGACGGCCACGGTCCTGAGTCCTGGGAACGCCCTCGGGTAACCGAAATCTTGTTTCAATGAGCGTTGTGTTCGGTCGAGAACCTCTTTAACCGTATGATTATTATATCCGCGTTACAAGCGTTTTGTCATGAACTGGAATCCCACCAGCCCTTTGGGCGACAGGTGGTCTGACGAGGGTCTCTTTCCTCTTCCACACCCCCTCTTCCCTTCGGAGAGGGGGACCCTCCCCCCCCCCCTCTCTGAGGTTTTTGTTGGGAGGGGGTGGCGATGTGTCGGAGGCTCCTTTTTCGGGCATTGGGAGGGCAATTTTCTGCCACCCCTCACGAGGATTGTGGCCCCCGAAGGGGGGGACGCAAATCTACTCTTTTCACCGACCGCCTCCAAGATAGCCTCAAGAGGCCCTCCAGGGCTCCCAGGAGGCTCCCAAGAGGGCCCAAAGAGCGCCCCTAGAAGCTCCAAGAGGCCTCCAAGAGGCCCCCAAGAGGCCCCCGAGCGGCCTCAGAGAGCACAAGATGACCTCCAAGATGGCTCAGATAGCCCAAGTTGGCTCAAGATGGCTCCCAAGATGCCCGAAGCGGCCCCAAGAACGCTCCAAGACGGCTCGAGATGGCCACGGAGCCTCCCAAGCCTCCCTCGCTGTTTGACCATGCGTGTCTCTTGCTCTCTCCCCCAGTCAACTCTCATGGGCATCGTTCCTGGATAGGCTGGTGGGGATACGCGATACGCGACTCGTCAAGATTCCGCCTGGTGGGATTTCTAAAACCGTGTGTTTCCACGTTGGGATGTTAACTTACCCGCCGGTATATACACACTATTATATAACTTGAGACAATCCTGGATTTAGAAATCCTGGATCTTTGACCTGACCGCTCTTGACCCAGCCTGCTAGAATTCTACGGGGGAAAGGGGGGCAGCTTGGCGCAGTCGGGACAGGGGTCACCCTTCGCTCGCTCCCTCGCGCGGAAGTAACAGAAGAAACCTCTATCATCTTGACGCTCCCATCAAACGTGACAAACTTCTGTAACGGCGTAGATTTAGCCTTACTACTATTCTCATTAGTGTCAGGATGAGTATGCTTGTTCGTATGATTGTTTGTTATTCGTATTCTTATTCAGTCGATGAATAATGCAACTAGTATGCTGAACAATCGCGGTAATGGTCCTATGACACTGCCAGATTAAGATTGGCGGTATGCTTATGATGCTTGAGTACTACTGTGAAACAGTTTGGGGAGCACCGGGAAGCACAACAACCTCCAGGGCCCCGCTTCTCCAGGACTGCCTCGCTTGACGGAGGCGCCCAAGTTGATACCCCGGCTTGGTATAGATATACAGTTACACACATGCATACGTACACACATACATATAAACGTACATACATACAAACGTACATATATACATACATGTCCCTCTGCTCGTGCTTGTCCTGTGTCCAGGGGAGGATTCTAACATCGTTGGCCCGTTGTGGGTAAAAGGGCCCAGGGACACATAAAGTTTGTCATGTTTTGTCACACTGCACTTGCAATATGTGGTCACATTGTTTTGTCATAGTTTGTCATATTAGTCTCCCCCTCCACTTTCCAGATGTTGTCATATGTTTCTTGGGATCGACGATTCATTGTATCTGTGTGTGTGTTCTTCTCCCCCTGAATTGCGTACCGTACCCCCTGATGCCCACGGACAATCCCCTACATGGCGTGTCGGTGTATATCCGCCACCGTGCCGTGGGCACTGAGTGTAGAAGCATCAGGTCAGGTCCCGTCGAGATCTCTGGGCTAAGGATTGAAGATCCCCGTCAAAGGGAACCGAGCCCAGATTCCCGGAATCTCTAGACGCTCGTGGAAATTGTTCCAACCAAGAGGTTTCCTGATGCCTTGTGTGGGAGCGCGATTGGTCAGCTTGTCCAAAATCGCCCCAAAGGATCGTCATTAGGCTCTCTTCGGGGATTCTTGGGCCATCTTTGCAGCCATGGGGGAGACGCTGGGGGAGGCCCCATCAATCATTGAAGACTTCACAGCTCTGCACAATCTGTATGTTTCATTCTTCAGGGCGTCCAGGACGGCCCACGAGGTCAACTGCAGAGCTAGTCCCCCCTATAAGAGGGGCCCAGGAGGCCCCCGAGACGCACCCGAAGAGGGGCCCCGAAGGCCCAGAAGACTACCCCATCTCTCAGGGCCACCATCTCAGGTCCCCGATGCTGTGTTTTTCCACAGCGTCGACCCCCAGAGGTCTGGACCCCTGTCCTGGGGCAGATTTTTCATCCTGAATCATATGTTGACAACCCCGAGGCCAAGCAAAGGGCCCGCGGAGGCCGAAGATAGCGAGAAGCCTCCCGTCGTGATTTTGCTCGCAGCGCGAGGGGTGCCTGGGATCCTCGAGCCGCCGACAGCGGCCGGCCGCCCTGCGGCGGGGCCTGGCTCTCGGGGTACAGCAGCTGGTCGCGCAGCGAGGCGTGGACGCCGTGCTCGCCCGCCGGCAGGTAGGGCGTCTGCGGCACGAACAGCACGCCCGGGCCGCGGCAGATCTCCCCGACGCCCTCCTGGGCTCCGAGGAGGGCCGAAGTTCCCAGACCCCCTAGGGTCATGAAAACATGTCGCCGCGCCGTTTGTCTTCGACGCGCCGAAGTAGACGACGCCGGCACCACGGCAAACCCACGGCAAACCCTACGTCCCGCACCACAGCAAACCACGCGGGCGCCAGCGGCAAGCCCCACGGCAAACACACCGCACCCGAGGCGGCGTTTGCCTTGGTGTCCGCGGCGGCCTCCCCAAGACGCAAGGCCGCGGCCGCGCGTCGGAACAGACGGCGCGGCGACACATTGCGACGGGATTCGTTTTTGTTGTTTTCTGCCTCTGGGCACCTTACAGAGCCCCGGGACCGTCCAGAAGTCGACTCAGGATGAAACGCCAGTCCCAGGAAGTGGGTCGAGGTCTCCTAGGTTTTTGGACATGTTGGTGGCTCCTGTTGGGCCTCCAGAGGCTCCTCATAAGGCATGAACAAACCGTCGACAAGTCAAACTCCAGTGATGGGCGGTCTCCGCCGCCAAATGCCGCTCAAAATCGTGCGCCCGCGCCCGCGCCCGCGCTTCTGCTGGGCCGACGCAGGCACGAGCCCACAGGACAACACGGTCGAGGACAGCGTGAGAGTTGGAGCTGAGGCTCCTGCGCGGTTGCCGTTCCCTCGTGACGCAGTCCGGGAGCCCTCCTAGGACACCTAGGGCCATCTGTCGCCGCGCCGTCTGTCCGCCGCGCGCCCAAGTGGACGACGCCAGCACCACGGCAAACTCGCGGTAGCGCCCTGTCCTCCTCCTCCTCCTCCTCCTCCTCCTCCTCCTCCTCCTCCTCCTCCTCCTCCTCCTCCCGCGCCCAAGGAAATGACGCCAGCACCGCGGCAAGCCCCACGGCGAGCCCACAGCGCCCGGGCGGCGTTGGCCCTGGGGCCCGAGGCGCCCTGCCCAAGACGCAAGGCCGCGCGTCGAGACAAACGGCGCGGCGACATCTGCGGGCGGGATCCTTCACACGCCCTCTGGGGTCCAGTGGGGGCACTCGGAGCTCCTCTCGGGATGGTCTTGGGGCCCCCTCTGCCGCCGTCGCCCGCCCTCGCCCACGCCCTCGGGCCTGCAGGGGCAGGGCCCCCGCCTGCCTGCTCGCAGCACGCAGGCTGGAACTCCTCTGCCCCTGTGGGGGTGGGAGAGGGATTTTGGACGCCCGGAATGGGCACGGAAAGAATGGGTACAATGCCCAACAGCAAATATTGTCCCAAACCAACAGCGGCCGCTGTTGGGCGGGCGGCCTTCTGTCTCGAATGGACACAGGCCGCGGCGGCGCGGACAGCGAGCCCTGTTCAAAATGAACAGTAACTGCTCTTGGGCATCGTACCCATTCTTTCCGTACCCATTTCGGGCGTCCAAAGATGATGATGAGTAGGGCGATGGGGGCGACGAGGAGGGGGGAGGATCTGGAGAGGGGGGCGAAGCAAAGGGCAGGATAGCAAAAGGCAGGATCGGACAGCAGCGCACGCAGCCGGTTCTCTACTGCGCCTCCCGGCGCCGGGAGGCGCCCAGGTGCCGAGGAGTGGGCCTGGCGGCAGGGCCGAGACCAGCTGCATGCAGCAGATGCCGTAGCCCCCCTTTCCCTACGGTGGAGGCCCGACCAGAAGAGACCGTCCACAAGAAACCCAACCCTGAGACCCCAGGACGTCCATTGCTTTTTGGTGTGGGAACGCCATGCTCTCCGTGGCAAAACCATCGAAACCCAACAGACCCAGGGCGCCCTGGAGGCAAGCAGGGTGTTTCTTGGCATGGGTCCCCACTGTAGCCCCCCTTTCCCTGTCCCCTCCCCGTTCGTTCGGCCCGGCCCTTCGGGAGGCCGCCGGCCCGAGCGGAGGTCGAAGCTCCGCAGGGAGCGCCAACTGCAGCTCTGCTGAGTTCTTCGTCCTGCCGAGCAGCGCAAGCGTCGGCATGAGCATCTGTGGCCAGGCCGGCCTCTGAGTGCAAAACCTCGCCCCAAACTGCCTGCAAGTGGGCGCTCCGGCACGTGCCTGCGCCCTGGCGGCCGTGCAACTCCAGCTCTGAGCACTGCCGCGCGTGCCTGCGCCCCTGCGACCAGTGCAGGCCGCGAGCTGCCAGAAGGAGCGCTGAAAAGAAACGAAGAAACGGAGGGACAAAGAGGCTTCTCTGGCAGCGGCGTGCCTCGGGGACGAATGCAACAGACACACCGACACGAGGTCTCGCAACAGTCTGGCTATAAGAAATCTTGGGGCACCCTCTTCGTCGAGCCTTGAACTTCCTGAGGTGCCCGTGGGCTTCCTTGGGCCACTTGGCCCACTGGGAGATCGGAAACTGATGTGGGGTATCTGCAGGTAGGCCAAAACACTGCAGATAGGGGCTTTTTTTTTATTGCAGGCGTATCAGATCAATTCGCTTATTGTTATTAGCCCCGAAGCAAGGACGGGGTGCCACGTCTCCATCGTGTTGTTAAGATTCGGGGCTCATTTGTTCTCGCTGACAGAGTTGTCCTCATGCCACAAGTCGCTTAACGGGTGGAACTGAAAATTGCACCTTCCATACACCTTCGGGACCTCAGGGGGGCCATGTAGGGCCAATATCCTGCAGCATTCGGTCCCCCTCCCCCACGTGGCCACTTCCGGGAACCCTGGACCCAAAAATGTTGTCATCCCTTCGTGGCGCATCTGGTACGGCGCATCTGTTACTTCCGCCGCCTTCCGCCGAGCCGCCGAACTGTTTTTTTTTCGCGCTCACTACTCCCTCTTGTCGCTTGAGGTTACGTCGTGGGCTTCATGAAAAAAACTCTACCGAAACGGTAATCTCGGTGCGCTCCAACGTCTTGCCAGATCGGGGCCCCAGAAGGCGCAGGTAGACGGGCGATGCGACTCGTGGGCAGGCACAGGGCCCCCGAGAGGCCGGAAACTATGAGAAGCCTCCGTCTCGATTTTGATCGAGACGGAGAATCTCTGGGCCCTTCTTCCCAGTATCTGCACGCAGGCGGCGACCTTCCAACTCAGCCTGTGCGCCGCGCCCCGCGGTGTGCTCGGCCCAACGCCCAGCCCGACGGTGTGCGGGGAAGCGGGGGCTGGGCCTCCCGGACGTCGAGCGGGGCAGAGGCGGGTGGCGCACTTCCACTGCCCCTCCCCTGTCGAGGCCGCTGTCGGCGTCGGTGCTCGCATCGAACACAGCCGCCCCCCGCCCCCCTCCAGCCTCCTCTCCTCCTCCCTCCGAGGGACGACGACGAGAACGACTCAGATACAGTCATCGTGCTGCCAGAAGGAAGGCTGAATCGGGAACGAAAGGTTCTTGTTCCTACCACGGCGAGCCTCGGCCACGAATAGGAACCCCCATCTAGAGCTATGGAGCAGCCCGACAAGCTGAGCCCCTCCCGAGCCCACGGGGGTCCTCGTTACAGCTTGTTTACTGTAGGGGCGCCGCCGACGAAGAGGAGGACGATGCCAAGCACGCCTACGACGACACCGACGGCGCGGCCGCCCCACGAGCCAGACGCGGCCTGTCGAGCCCCCCCTGCGCGCGGCGCTCCTCCCACAGGCCCGCCACCGCCCGCAGGAGCGAGGACTTCCCGGAGCCACTCTCCTCGGCTCGGGCGCGCGCGGGCGCGGGCTGCCAATCTGGACTGGCTCTGGATTGAACTCAGATTCGGCGCTGGGCTCGAAAAATGCAGTCAACCAGCCTAGTAAGGACGCACGAGAAGGACGCAAGGGCCTTGGAAGGCCATGTCGACACTCTGCGAGCGGGGCGCGACCAGCGAAAGCGGCCAAGGAAGAGCCGAAGGGACAGGACGTAAGGGTAACCTTGGAAAGTTGTTACTCAATACTATGCGGGTTGACTATAAAACAGAATGGTGAGCAGAAGTGGCTCATCTAGCATGTACCTTAGAGCCACCTTCGCGGGGGGCGTGGGAACAAGGGAAAGGCAGAGCCACCCCCGCCACCTTCGAGGATTGACAGAACACTCTTTAGCAACACGCCCTGTAATGAAAGCTTACAGGGGCACTTCACGTGCGCGCGGCTCCGCGTTTCGAGTGGACCCCAGCGGGATGGCAAATCGACGTGCACAAACATGTGAATGTATCCGGCAAGACACACCTCGATTAACAACACCGACTAGGGATTGCACCAATTCTGTCGAGTGAACTGGTGCAGATTTCCTCTGTCGATTTGAAGGCCAGTGGGGAGGGTCCTCCTTGTGGTGTGCCCCACCCCCCCGTCTCGCTCGAGACATCCCCCCCAAAACCCTGGCTCGGGGAGGCATCGTGGACCCCCTTGCCAGAAGTGGCACCCCTGGTTCATGGCTCCCAGGTCATAACTCGGCTCTCCAACGGACGCTCGGGCCGATCGGGGCACTCCCGGAACGCTCTCGGCGAGGCGCAGCTGCTGCAGGGCTCCCCGAGGCTGGAAAGCCGCCGTGGAGCAGGGGCCAGGATCCCAGACCCCCGACGTCATGATTTTTTCATGACGTCGACCCCCAGAGGCCTGGACCCATTCCCCAGGACCGGTTTTTCGTCCTGAGTCGTTTTTTGACGGTCCCGAGGGCCGGTAAGGGCCCCCAGAGTCCAAAAATAATGAAAAACCTCCCGTCGTGATTTTTTCATGACTCGAGGGGGTCTGGGATGGGAGAGCCGCTTCTCCGGCCGCCTTCCAAGCGACACAGAAAAAGCGGCCGCGGACCCGGGCAGGGGAGCAATACAGCGCGGAGGTGGTGCTCCTGGCCGCCTTCGCGCTGCCCGGGCGGTGGAGAGGCGTGCAGTTTCCACGTAAAGCAGAGAGAGAGAGAGAGCGACAAAGAAGCAGAGAAAGAGAGAGAGAGAGAGAGAACGCCCCCAAAAAACAAAAAACAAAAAAACAGAAAAACGAACGCCACCGAGGAGCGGCAGCGGCTGCCCAGGGGACGGCAAGGTGACAGCTTTTTCCTCGCCCTCCTCGATTCGATTGTGTCTGCTGCGCCGGCATGTGGCTGGGTGTAACTCGTTGAGTCTGTCGGTCTCCTCCTCCTCCTCCTCCTCCTCCTCCTCCTCCTCCTCCTCCTCCTCTTCCTCCGCCTCCTCCTCCTCCTCATTCTCCTCTGCCGTGGCCTTCTTCCTCCCGCTCCTCCTCTACTGCTGCTCCCATCCCGTGGCGGAGGAGCATCACCGTGGATGGCGCGGGCGCGTGACGGGGGGCTGGACGTTTTCTTTACACTGCGCTTGAAAGTAATGCAACTTGAACCGTCGATTTGTTTGTTTTCGTCGCCTTCGGCTTTTCGTCGTTCTGGCCTCAAGGATTAACATCTACCCCCAGGAATGTCGCCTGGACGATTCTTCGACACGACCTTCCAAGTTGCACTACTTTTCCAGGGGGTGTAGGGTGGGAACTGCAGTCTCGGAAATTTGTCAAACGCTTCGTGCGCTTCCGGAGCATTCTTTGTTCCTCGCGGCCGGGGGTCCTGGAAGTTCCTGTGGAGCCCCCTGGAGGGCGCAACCGCAGAGGCGGCAGCAGCCCGAGTGGAGGAGCAGCCCGACTGCACGAGGAGGAGGAGGGGGCGAACGAGGGAGAAGGGAGATCGAGGAGGAGCCGACGAGAACGTAGATCAGGAGGGGAAAAAACACACAGACACAACCAATCGTCGATTCCCCCGAAAATATTGGAAAATATGGGAAGTGGGGTTGAAAGACAAAAACCCAGAAAATATGAAAAGATATGGGGAATCTGTTTATTTGTGTGTATTTATTTGCGTGTCCTGGGG